AGGAGAAAATCCTAGTGTGGCGTAACGTTTTTTTGAAAAAAAAAATTCCAGACTATAGCCTATATCTGAGCAAAATATCATCCAGATCCCTTCAGCCGTTCTGGCGTGATTGAGTAACATACATCCATTCATCCGTCCATCCAAATATCCAAACTTTCGCATTTATAATATTTAGATAATAATCGTAATTGGTCTGCCTACCTATAAATTGTTTTCAAAAATACTTACTTACCTGGCTTTTTTTATATATACTCAATATCACTAAACGTAAGCACAGGTTTTTATCAAGACAAGTGACCCATCAAGATTGTTTTCTTAGTACTGACGTACCTACCTAAAGTTTACAATTTTGTGGCCACGACGCGGCAAGGTTTTGTGACATTTTATTGTATTGTAGATTGTAGGTATCTAGGTAATAACAGTAGGTACCTATGAAAATCCCACATAATATACTTTGTTTGTCCGCCGCAAAAGTCGTCTAATAAATAATTAAACTGTTTTGTAATTCTTTATTTATTTATAACACTTGCATTGAGAGCTGTGGTAGCTCAGATGGTTAGCGCTCGCTGTAAGTATCACATTACGCGAGCAACCCGGGTTCGATCCCCGTCGGCACCAATGAAATTGTTGCAATTTTATATAGTAATCGAATATAGACTTTACTTTTTTTACTTTTATAATTATATTATATTACAGACGAAAATTTTAAAATATTGTCTGTCGTCCAAAACGCATCATCTCTTTCAATTATATCAATTTCCATGCCGTCTTTTGTCTTTGGCGTCCAAATTACAAAATAGCAAAACTTTTCGTTTCGAATAAAACTCGAATATAAGCGCGCGTCACCGCCTGTGCATGTGTGTGTAAGCATCGTCCTCCCACACCGCACCGGGGGAGACATTATTCAGTGAGATGCACGATAATTCATAGTAACATGCGCGCGTAAAAAAATACGAAAAGGCCTTTGGAAGAAGGGGTTTTATGAAAAAACCACTGCATTAATCAATTACAAATAAAATTTATTGAGTTCTTCGATAATTGAGTTGTGTCGGTACCGACTTTGTTTTGGAAATTTTTCACTTGTTTTATTACTAATTTACGCCCAAAGTTGTGTTAAAATTGGCAATAAAAACGAATCTTTGGTAGCTCGTAACTTTTTAATAACATTTTATTTTACTATTCTGTTTCCGTACAGACAAATTTAATAATGAGACAAAACGATATCATGTTTAATTTTGGATGTACACTGTCAAACAGCGGAGTAAAACCCCTCCGAAATTTCTATGGAAATAATGTCGACTAGTGTCACCTTAAGGATTAAAATCTAAAGCTAATCAAAAAGAAATCAAAGTGATAAGTCCAGTTTTTCGAAAGATATCTTGTTCACATCCATACCGAACAACTGACGTTCAAGTGAATTTATTTTCAATTAACTTTTTTTTTAAATAATAATATGTAATGAAATAAATAATGTTACGTCAAAAGTATTAATTGAAATCTCCTCTTGCTATTGGTGTACATTTTTTATTATACAAGTTCGATGAGTGCAACACGTGTGCAGTTCACAAGCGGTAGGAGCGAAACCTACAGAAAAGAAGACCGACATAATAGGAATAACTGTATACTGTTTTCTATTTCATTTTCAAGCAAGGTAAATCCTATAGATGTAGGTGTCGCATTTTAGTTTCACTTAAAAAAAAAAAAACATAAAAAAATAGACACTAAATAGGTTAATTTAAATATGTATCGCTTGCAATTCACGTCGTAACGCTGTGACGTAAAGCGCGGCGCCCACCTAAGTAACGTAACGCGTGATCTGACGCGTGATTTGACGCGTAACTTGTCACTCGCCTCAACATTCAAAGAGATTGTATGTAGTAGCGCCCATTAGCGTGGCGTGATGCTGCATGACCTGACGTGCCATTCAGCTTGCTACTAGTGACGCATTGAAGTGGCGCGTAACACGTAACTTGCAGTGACTTGTCTATACAAAATGAAAGACGACCTAGCTTTTTTCTTTTCATGAAAGGCCATGTATACAATATGATTGTTCTAGGCCCGATTACATTAACAGGAATTCGCAAGATACTTCTTGCAACTTATAGTGACTTGCCTATGCAAAATATAATTCTAATTCCTTCATAGCATTGAAAGTACCACCACTTTTCAATTTTTTTCCTCAAAGCATGTACCCGAAATCTTTTGCTGGCACTTGGAATGTTTGAAATCTGTAGCATAGCAAGGGCATGTTTATCTTCTTCAGACGACATTTTGGCTCAAACTGAATTCTGCGATATGCTATTGTTGCACAGGTTGGCGCAAGCAGTGTCACCCGTGGTCACGTCAGAGTATCGTCAGAATCATGCTACAAGCCATGTCGAAATCATGTACTTTGGTGGGCGCCGCGGTTAAGAACGGACACATGTTTTGTGTCGATGATATCACGCGTACGATTAGATGGTCTGTGAGCGTAAGCAAAGTTTCATTTTAAATGTGTCAAATTAATTCTATTTTTTTTTATTTGAGCACAGTCCAGTTATTTTTGTATTATAAAATAAGGGTGACTAACGAGCAAACAGACCACATGATCGTAAATGAATACTGTGGCCTATAGACATTACTCGTATTTATCCTCAATTAAGAATCAAAATGCAGATGCGTTGCCACCCCTGAGGACTGAGATGGAATACATAAACATAAACACTCACGCCTGTCACCCAGAGGGGTAGGCAGAGACTATGGACTTCCACTTGGCACGATCCTGACACACCTCTCTCGCTTCCTCCATATCCATATACCTCGATCCATACACGCTCGTCGGTTAAAGGTACTCTTGATGAATGAGATGGAATAGTTTCCAGTAAAAAGGGTCTCCGGTTACACTCACCATACGAAACACAGCAGCATTAAGCTGCTATTTTGCGCGGGTATTGTGTGACCATGATATTAGTTGGAGACTGAGGTTAAGCGCGTTGCGTGAATATTTTATAGAGATCGTCGCGGACGTTTGTGTTTTTCAGACTTAATTTTCTTTATTAGATAGCATGCATAATATGGTAGAGCACGACCGATGGTCTAGTGCAGAGATTCCTAAAGTAGGTTCCTCGGAACCCAAGGGTTCCGTGAAAAAGTCATCAGGGTACCGCGAAATTACTTATTTTTGCTTTTTAAATAATTTTATACGTGGTAGAGCCATGGTGCAGCTATATTAGTAGTATAGTTGTAGCACGAATGGGTCGGTTCGACTGGGTAAGGACCACGCTGTCACAGAATACCAGCGTAAAATAGCAGCTTAATACAGCAGCAGTTTCGTATGGTGAATGTAGAGAACCGGAGACCCTTTTTACTAGAAAAGAGGCAATTCCATCTTAGTCTTCACGGGTGACAAGGCATCTGCATTTTAATTCTCAAACGAAGATAGATGTAGGTAGATGTCTATGGGCCACAGTAACCACTTACCATCAGGTGGACTATGTGCTCGTTTGTCACCCTTATTCTATAAAAAAAAATCCACAGTTGGGTACAAATATTATTAAGAAATAGTCCAAAATGTGTGATGAGATTTACCCATTACCATTATGTAGGTACATAGGTAGTTAGCGAGAATTCGGGACTATACTCATTGAGGTAATATGTTACTACGTAACTAGAGTCGCCGCTTCCCAGTAAATTCGCGACCCGATTACAACCCACCACGCTTCTTGATGACGTCGGTCATAGATTAATAAAATAGAGGTGATATTATACATTTTACATTACTTACTTTACATAGTGTTAAATTAAACAACAAAGTATTGAAAAGCATTTTTATTTATTTTTTCATTATCCACCTACAAAATATTGACTGCTAAATATGTATACTTAAACCCATAAAAAAAATAAAATGAAAAATCTTAATTAATAAAAAATAACATTTAAATATAATAAAAAATTGAATGTTTCATAACAAAGTTTCACGTTAGTTAATTGCCTTCGAATAGTATTAGTTTCGTTAACTTCTGTCTTTTCGAAGTTGATTTGACTGATGGATCAGATTTTGCTTCATGATAAAGACGTATTTTGGCGTATTTTTGTATGATAGCCCTGATCAGATGAACTCGACGATTAAAAGTGCCAGGTTGGTCTAGGGAGTGATCATTTAAACATTCGAAAATAGCAGAATCAATAAAACATTTTATGGTATTTGTAACTATGTACTGAAGAGTATACTTCTCGGACAAACTACCGCCGCTTTCTCGGATTAAAATACTGTTGCGCGCCACTATTAATGTCTTGTACATGGCAACACTAGTTACACTAGCGCCCCCTAGTGTCGAGTAAATGAAAGTATTGCGCGCCACTATTAATGTCTTGTACATGGCAACACTAGTTACACTAGCGCCCTCTAGTGTCGAGTAGCAGAACTAGGAGAGTCGAGATCCTTCCAGAAATTTCGGGACCGATATGTACTCGAACATTCTAGATGTCGCTACAGTAGAAGGTTCTGGAAACTATCTGAGGCCCTATATAAGGCCGGTATAGACCACGACCGGGGCAGTATTGAATTTGCGATACAAGAGAATACTTCGAAGCGAAATAACGGCGAACTGTGTTTTATTATTAGTGTGATTTTAGATTGTAATTAGTGTTGTGTAATTAAAGTGTCAATTTTGGTAATTCAATCCGCAGTTTTTAATTGTCTCGTACCCCAAGCTCGTAACAATTGGTGTCAGAAGTGGGATTGGTTGCGTCGGTGCGAATATCTATCGACCGGGACCCCTAGCAAGGATGGACAAACGAGAGTGACCACACTTTTAGAAGACTGTCGCAGCGTTCTCTCCCCGAATGAAATGGTCAAGGCGAAGAAGTTGTTACTCAAGTACGCCAATGTTTTCTCGTCAAACGAAGCTGACATAGAAAAGACTGGCTTAGTTCAACACAAAATAAACACAGGACAAGAATTGCCTATTCTTCAGCGGCCAAGAAGATTGCCTGTAGCACGTGAAAAGGAAGTGGAAACCATGATTGAGGGAATGGTGAAGGATGGTGTTATTGAAACTTCATCTAGTCCATGGTGTTTACCTGTGGTGCTGGTAAAGAAGAAGGACGGCAGCATGCGGTTTTGTGTTGACTACCGCCGCCTGAACGACGTTACGAAGAAGGACAGCTATCCCTTGCCTAGAATTGACGACACGCTGGACATGCTCACAGGCGTAAAGTGGTTTAGTACGCTGGACCTGAAAAGTGGCTACTGGCAGGTTGAAATTGACCCTAAGGACAAGGAGAAAACTGCATTCTCCACAGGAAAGGGTCTGTGGCAATTTAAAGTCATGCCGTTTGGATTGTGCAATGCTCCAGCAACGTTTGAAAGATTGATGGAGCTTGTACTTACCGGGCTAATTGGAGATGCCTGTCTGGTCTATTTGGATGACATCATCATCGTAGGCCGTACGTTTGAGGAACACCTTCAAAACCTGGAACGCGTGCTCATGAAGATCGAGAGTGCCAACCTCAAGTTGAGTCCAAAGAAGTGCTTACTATTCAAACGGCAAGTTAGTTTTTTGGGGTCTGTAGTGTCGGAAGAAGGTATCCGCACGGATCCAGAAAAAATTGCCGCTGTCAAGGAGTGGCCGGTTCCAAAAGACAAGACACAGGTTAGAGCATTTTTGGGTTTGTGCTCTTATTATCGGCGATTTGTGAAGAACTTTGCAGATATAGCCAAACCTCTGCACAAGCTAACCGAGGAGAAGCGACATTTCTGCTGGGATGAAAGTTGCGATATTGCATTCCAGGAGCTCAAGAACCGTCTGTGCAAAACACCTATTTTGGGGTACCCTGATGCGGGCAAGGAATTCATAGTTGACACAGACGCAAGTGATATAGGACTTGGCGGTGTGTTGTCTCAACGGAATGGTGACCAAGAGATTGTGATAGCGTACTTCAGCAAGTCATTGTCAAAGCCGGAAAGGAACTACTGTGTCACAAGACGCGAATTGCTTGCTGTGGTAAAATCCTTGCAGCATTTTAGCAAATATCTTCTAGGGCGGAAATTCCACTTACGAACTGACCATGCTGCACTGAAATGGCTATTGCAGTTCAAAAATCCGGAAGGACAAGTTGCGAGATGGATTGAACTACTGCAGGAATACGACTTTGTGATCGAACATCGCAGCGGGAAATCTCATGGCAATGCAGATGCATTGTCAAGAAGACCTTGCCCTGAAGATTGCAAGCATTGTACTAGGCAAGAGGGTAAGGAAGTGGTATCTGTGAGGATGCTCAGGACAGACCAGCTCAGCAATGAGTGGAAGGACAGCCTACAACATGCACAGCAGGAAGATTCGGATATTAAGCCGATTCTGGAATGGATAAAGGCCAGTGCTCCTAAGCCCAAGTGGAGCGACGTCTCAGCAATGAGTTCGACCACGAAAAGCTATTGGGCCCAATGGGACAGCTTGCTGATTCAGGATGGAGTCCTGTGCCGTAAATGACAACTGTCTCCCCGACCATTTTCCCATTTACGGCACAGGACTCCATCCTGAATCAGCAAGCTGTCCTATTGGGCCCAATAGCTTTTCGTGGTCGAACTCATTGCTGAGACGTCGCTCCACTTGGGCTTAGGAGCACTGGCCTTTATCCATTCCAGAATCGGCTTAATATCCGAATCTTCCTGCTGTGCATGTTGTAGGCTGTCCTTCCACTCATTGCTGAGCTGATCTGTCCTGAGCATCCTCACAGATACCACTTCCTTACCCTCTTGCCTAGTACAATGCTTGCAATCTTCAGGGCAAGGTCTTCTTGACAATGCATCTGCATTGCCATGAGATTTCCCGCTGCGATGTTCGATCACAAAGTCGTATTCCTGCAGTAGTTCAATCCATCTCGCAACTTGTCCTGGCGCAGCCGGTAGGATGAGCAGCTGCAGCGCGGACAGGAGGAACAAGCCCGCCAACAGGAGGAACAGGGCCGTCGGTTGGAAGAGCAGCTCAAACGCGATAAGGAAGAGCAGATACTTCTCATGAAGGACCTTCACGCTACCTTCGGGAAAGAAATAAGTGAGGTGAAGGATAAGGTTGCTCAATATGACAACCGCCTGTCGGAAGCTGAAACCCGAATCGACCAAGTGTATAATCGGGTTGACAATGTGATGGCTGACGTGAAGAAAACGCTGAACGACCTCGAAATTGGGGATGGAGTTACAGCTCCCGTGGTAGCTACAACACCTTCGCTACGTGGATTCAAAGTGCCACCGTTCGACGGGACTTCTTCCTGGTCGGCCTATAAAATCCAGTTCGAGGCTGTCATGAAAGCGAACGGCTGGAATAAAAGTCAGGCCATGACTGCTCTCACCCTAGGCCTGCGCGACCAGGCATTAACTGTTCTGGAAGCTCTCGGTAAGGAAGTGACTTACGAGCAGCTCCTTGAGGCATTGGAGGCGAGATATGGCGACGCTCACCTGGAACACGTCTTTCGTGCGCAGCTCAAAGATCGCGTGCAACGCAGTAACGAAAACCTGCAGCAGTGGGCCCTTGAGGTGGAGAAGCTGGTTCGAAAAGCGTACCAGTCTGTACCTGCGCTTATTGTAGGGAACCTGGTTCAGACATTCATCGACGGCATCCGCGACCTTGAAGTCAAAGCTGCTGTGAGGCTCGGGCACCACGAGACGCTTAAGGACGCCTTGACCCATGCACTGGAGGTGGAAGCCGTGCGGCAGGATCATCGTTCCCACCGCGTCAGGGAGGTTGCAGCAGCTACAGTTCAGGACCGCAATAAAAGCTACAGCCCTAGGTGCTACGGCTGTGGAGAAAGGGGCCATCTTCGATCCAGCTGCCCTAAGCGAATTGTAGAAAGGGAAGGTGATCGATCTCGAGAGGGTAGTGCGGCTAATAGCACCGCCCAGCAGCAGCAGGGAAACGAGTAAAAGCCAGGACTGCGGGGCAGGTGCTGGCTGATGTTAAAAGAGCCCCAAGGATTTCGATCTCACAAACCCATGATGGGAACAGCCTAATCATCAAGGGCGAAGTCAACGGAACGCCGTGTAAACTGACCATAGACACTGGAGCCTCTCGCACGGTTGTCAGTTCCCAACTTATAAGTCGGTTCCTTGGGGACTCCGCATACAACCGAGAACGCATTAATTTGGTGACAGCCACTGGTCAGCGCATACCCGTCCGTGGAGAGAAGGAGATGGAGTTGAAGCTAGACAACATAATCTACCTGCATAATGTCATCGTGGCTGATATAATGGACGACTGCATCCTGGGCCTAGACTTTATGAGGAAGAATTGTTGTGAGATCGACGTTAAGCAAGGTGTTTTGAAATGTGGACAAGTTGCGAGATGGATTGAACTACTGCAGGAATACGACTTTGTGATCGAACATCGCAGCGGGAAATCTCATGGCAATGCAGATGCATTGTCAAGAAGACCTTGCCCTGAAGATTGCAAGCATTGTACTAGGCAAGAGGGTAAGGAAGTGGTATCTGTGAGGATGCTCAGGACAGACCAGCTCATCGTTGTGTACTCGTGGAAAGGGTAGACAATGACCTTCCATGGAAAGTGGCTCGAACCTTGGTCAGAACCACCGACATCTCAGGAGTACGTGTGTTGAACCTTTGTGACCAGGAACAGATTATAGAAAAAGGCACATTGGTTGGTACTAGTGAGGAAGTGGATTGGTTGCGTCGGTGCGAATATCTATCGACCGGGACCCTTAGCAAGGATGGACAAACGAGAGTGACCACACTTTTAGAAGACTGTCGCAGCGTTCTCTCCCCGAATGAAATGGTCAAGGCGAAGAAGTTGTTACTCAAGTACGCCAATGTTTTCTCGTCAAACGAAGCTGACATAGGAAAGACTGGCTTAGTTCAACACAAAATAAACACAGGACAAGAATTGCCTATTCGTCAGCGGCCAAGAAGATTGCCTGTAGCACGTGAAAAGGAAGTGGAAACCATGATTGAGGGAATGGTGAAGGATGGTGTTATTGAACCTTCATCTAGTCCATGGTGTTCACCTGTGGTGCTGGTAAAGAAGAAGGACGGCAGCATACGGTTTTGTGTTGACTACCGCCGCCTGAACGACGTTACGAAGAAGAACAGCTATCCCTTGCCTAGAATTGATGACACGCTGGACATGCTCACAGGCGTAAAGTGGTTTAGTACGCTGGACCTGAAAAGTGGCTACTGGCAGGTTGAAATTGACCCTAAGGACAAGGAGAAAACTGCATTCTTCACAGGAAAGGGTCTGTGGCAATTTAAAGTCATGCCGTTTGGATTGTGCAATGCTCCAGCAACGTTTGAAAGATTGATGGAGCTTGTACTTACCGGGCTAATTGGAGATGCCTGTCTGGTCTATTTGGATGACATCATCATCGTAGGCCGTACGTTTGAGGAACACCTTCAAAACCTGGAACGCGTGCTCATGAAGATCGAGAGTGCCAACCTCAAGTTGAGTTCAAAGAAGTGCTCACTATTCAAACGGCAAGTTAGTTTTTTGGGGTATGTAGTGTCGGAAGAAGGTATCCGCACGGATCCAGAAAAAATTGCCGCTGTCAAGGAGTGGCCGGTTCCAAAAGACAAGACACAGGTTAGAGCATTTTTGGGTTTGTGCTCTTATTATCGGCGATTTGTGAAGAACTTTGCAGATATAGCCAAACCTCTGCACAAGCTAACCGAGGAGAAGCGACATTTCTGCTGGGATGAAAGTTGCGATATTGCATTCCAGGAGCTCAAGAACCGTCTGTGCAAAACACCTATTTTGGGGTACCCTGATGCGGGCAAGGAATTCATAGTTGACACAGACGCAAGTGATATAGGACTTGGCGGTGTGTTGTCTCAACGGAATGGTGACCAAGAGATTGTGATAGCGTACTTCAGCAAGTCATTGTCAAAGCCGGAAAGGAACTACTGTGTCACAAGACGCGAATTGCTTGCTGTGGTAAAATCCTTGCAGCATTTTAGCAAATATCTTCTAGGGCGGAAATTCCACTTACGAACTGACCATGCTGCACTGAAATGGCTATTGCAGTTCAAAAATCCGGAAGGACAAGTTGCGAGATGGATTGAACTACTGCAGGAATACGACTTTGTGATCGAACATCGCAGCGGGAAATCTCATGGCAATGCAGATGCATTGTCAAGAAGACCTTGCCCTGAAGATTGCAAGCATTGTACTAGGCAAGAGGGTAAGGAAGTGGTATCTGTGAGGATGCTCAGGACAGACCAGCTCAGCAATGAGTGGAAGGACAGCCTACAACATGCACAGCAGGAAGATTCGGATATTAAGCCGATTCTGGAATGGATAAAGGCCAGTGCTCCTAAGCCCAAGTGGAGCGACGTCTCAGCAATGAGTTCGACCACGAAAAGCTATTGGGCCCAATGGGACAGCTTGCTGATTCAGGATGGAGTCCTGTGCCGTAAATGGGAAAATGGTCGGGGAGACAGTTGTCATTTGCAAATGGTTGTCCCTAAGGCTAAAGTACCGGATGTTCTACAGCTGTACCATAGTGGTTGTTCAGGTGGCCACCTGGGAGTTAAACGAACTCTACTGAAAATCCGAGAACGGTTTTACTGGGTCCACTGTCGTGACGATGTCGAGGACTGGTGCCGCAAATGTACAAGTTGTGCGGCTGTAAAGGGACCTCAAATTCGTAGTAGAGGCGCATTGAAATTGTACAATGTTGGTGCACCATGGGAGAGGATAGCCATTGACGTTGCGGGGCCATTTCCGGAAAGTGAAAGTGGTAACAAGTATTTCATGGTTGTGATGGATTACTTCACTAAGTGGCCAGAAGTCTTCGATATTCCAAATCAAGAAGCTTCAACAATTGCAGATAAACTAGTTCATGAATTCTTCTGTCGTTTTGGAGTACCTTTAGAGATTCACAGCGATCAAGGAAGGAATTTCGAGTCTCAAATATTCCAGGAAACTTGCAGAGTTATGGGTACTCATAAAACACGAACAACTTCTTACCACCCACAATCTGATGGAATGGTAGAACGATTTAATAAGACATTGGAAAGGTACCTGGCAAAAGTTGTGGAAAAACGGCAACGAAACTGGGACAGGCACATACAACCGTTTTTGTTGTCATATCGAAGCGCTGTTCACGAAAGTACGTCAGTGACGCCAGCTTTCGCAAACCTGATCACCTGCCTGCAGACCTGATCACCGGAATACCACCTGATGCCCCACGCAGTATAACCGATTATGCAAATGACTTGCGGAACAAAATGAATGACATTTATGAGCACGTCAGACAGACGGGCCAGCAAACGTCTGAGAAGATGAAAACACGGTATGACCGCAAATTGAACAACAAGGGGTTTGATGAAGGTTCACTAGTGTGGTTACACAATCCAGTTCGCAGCAAAGGGAAATCTCCTAAGCTTCAAGCTAAATGGGATGGACCGTACCGGATTGTGACAAGGATCAATGATGTAACCTACCGGATACAGAAAGGTGCCAGAGGTACTCCTAAGATTGTCCAT